AGGTTTAGTCCTTGTGAAAGAAGCTTCTTTAAATTCAAAGACATTCAGGTCCCAATCACTGTCCCTGAGAGCTGCCCCACCTTTGACATAGCAAATCTTAACATCACATACTATGAATACAACCTCTTTTCCACAACTCCTCTATTTCTTATTTTTATTGAGCCTTTTCTTCAATGATAGAAATCTGAGTGCTTTGGCTTCTCCATTTGGCCAATCACCTGCCTCAATCTCTTTTCTTCTCTGTCCGTCCTGATCTACATGGCCTAATGTTAGTTCTGTCCTCTTTCTCCCTCTTCTCCCATCCAAGTACTAACCAGGCCTTACCCTGCTTATCTTCCAAGATCAGATGAGATCTTGGGTTCAGGGTGGTATGGTATGACCTCTTTCTCCCTCTTCTACCTTCTCTCTACATGCTCACAGTTCTGAGAAATTCCAGGCAAAAATCACAAGCAATTGAGCCAGATGAGACCACCATGACCCTTCCTTCTCCCATGCCCCGCATCCCAAAGACAAAAAAATCCTCATGGTTCTTCCACCAGTATATTGAGGATCAGGCTGCCACTTAGCAACTCTGTGACCACTATCCTAGTATGGACATCATGCTGTCTCCTATAAATGGCCACAGCCTTCTGTTTCCACTTCAGAATGCTCTTCATAGATAGTTCTCACCATATCAGTGAGAATGACCTGTAAAACATCAAATCTGAGAACGCCATCTTCTGTCCCAAATCCTCCAGGGCTTCCCATCACAATCCTGGACTCAGTCACTGTCTTCCACCAAGTTGTGCTTAGAATTACAAACCTTGAACTTTCCAAACACCCCAGAAACCCATTTTACTGCTTACTGGCATGCTCATTGCAAAGTCTCTGTGTCGCTTCTTCCTTCACTTATTTTCCAAACTTCTGTGCCTTCACTTCCTGTACCATGTCCATCCCACTTATTTATCTCCCTAACAGATGTTATCATTTGAAATATGCACTTTATTTTGTTGTTGTTGTTGTTGTCTGTTATCTGTGCTAACATAGCTGTAAAGGTAGAGGATTTTGCTTCTGATACTTAGGATGGAATATGTTTGGATGAATTAATACATTCATGGAATTTATTACAAAACTCTTGAAAATAGATTCTAAGTCTAACAAACTGATAAATGCCTGTTCAGCAAACAATACTTGGAAGGAATAAATGTTTGTGAAGGAATCAAATAAAGGAATGAACAGATTTGTGTGGCATCAGGGAGGAAGGACACACGTTGAGGGAGTGAAGGATGAGAACCAGTCTTTCCTCAGTGAGGCTCCATGGAACACTTGCAGGAGTCATGCCTCAATCTTCAGACTGACAACAAGATTGATCTTATTACTTATACATGCTTGTGTCTCCTCTGGGAGGCTACTTTCAGAAAAATGCCAATAGAAACACAAGATACAGTGGCTTGAGTGTCAGGCCACAGTAACACACTTCTTAGAAAGTATCTGGCTTAGGAAAAATGCTCACATGGGGGGATAGTGTCTGGCTTATGGTTAGGTAATTAGGAGTTGACATCATGCTCTGGGTCACTTAAAAGGTAATTCCCATTTGTTATTAGAATTAAACTCAGACCCAAGCAAATTATATTTATGATCACCATCTGGGATGGAGGGAGGCAAAGCATATGGTTTTTTTTTTTTTTTTAGAACTGTATTAATTTGCAAGAATGCCTTCAATTAGTCTAACTCATTAATCTACAGATTTGCTGTGTGAAGATTTCTTCCTGGCTGAAGGATAACAGGACTATTCTATTCTCTTAGCACTGAATTGGCTCTTATGCCCCCAGCTGCTCTGATGGGATTTCAGAAACTCCTTTGTGAGAAAACAAAAGCAGATGGAGGACACCTCAATATATCATGGGACTAGAGCTCATCTAAAGGAGACCTACAGAGAAAACAGAGCAGTGGTCAGTCCCATGCAAACTTCTCGACTTGGAAACTGTCTTAGTGCTGCTCTGTGCCTCCTGTCGGTAGGTAGCCTCACACTGTATTCTTTTTCCTGCTCATCTCCTTCTTGATGTTCCACTAGTCTGCTGTCTACCCAGTAAGCAATTCTAAGTTAGCTACTGCTTCCTGCAAAGATACCAATAATCACCAAATTGGAAGGTATCCTGACAAATGATGACTGAGAGTTCTATGGATGCCCTCTGGGAAGACTCTGATCTATGGATGTGCAAAGACTCTGTCTTTACCTTCACAGTACCTCAGAGACCTTCAGAGCTCACACTCTGCAAGCCAGCACCACTCTTACCAGAGAGATGCACAGCTGCCTCACACGTGGGCCTCCATAGCAACCCACCAGACATTAATAGCCTTGAAAGGGAGAAATTTTGAATACTTTGAGGCCTAATGTGGTCAGAGGGGCATAAAGGACAGTTTTGCTCCTTGCCCTCCTAGGTCGGCTAGCTCCAGGGGACTATATGCATCTCTCAAAGTCTCCTGTAACTGTGGTAAGTCACCTGTCCTCTTGATCAAGGAGGCCGAGGAGACCTCACAAGATGGACTTGAACCAGCGTCCAGTCTACAAAGAGGAGGGTCAACAGAGGAAATATTTCCTCCATGTTTCCAAGCAAAGCCAGCCATGGTTGAGCAGGACCTTTGACTTATAGTCACAAAGGTGGACCTGGTAAAAGAAAGGAGCCAGAGGCTCCTCCCAAGCCCATGTGACCTCTGAGGAACAGGTCCTCAGACGGCCTTAAGAGTAAAAATAAATTGGTTTATCTGGGCCAACTGTATGGCCTTAAATACCCAAAAGGAAAGAATTTTGATATCTTTTTAAAACTAGACCCCTTTCTTCATCAGTTTGAAAAAGATTTTGAGTCTTTTACCTAATAACACTCTCCATATAACATGGCAACATTGTAAAAACAAATGGACATTGGGGTCAAATATAGAGTCCGAGTCTGAGTTCCATTAGGGTCCTTTGTCACCTTGGTCATTTCCTTTATTTTACTCCATATCTCAATTTCTTCATCTGTGAAAAAGGGCAGTAGCATATTCTATTCATTCATTCATGCGGGAAAAACTTGATGAGTTTCTGTCAGAGAACAGGCGTTATGCTTGCTTATTAATAGCTATGAGTCCCAGCATGAACTGAATATTTACTATGTAGTAGGCACTGCTTTTGTTTTTACTATTTCAAGTTAATTAGCTCTTTTGAGTCTCACTAGACTCTCTGAGTATGGGTACTATTATTTCTCTCTTTACCTAATTCACAGATTAGTAAACTGAGGCATGGGATAAAGCAACCTGCTCAAGGTCAAGCAGGTAGATGGTGGAATCGATTTTTTTTTTTATATTGAGCTGTTGACTCCAGGGCTAGGTTCTTCTATGACCAGTCAGTCAAATATGCTGCCTTCTAGATATTAGGAACAGAACAGTGGAGGGAAAAAAATTGACACCTTTATTAGGCTCAGGTCTAGTGAGATGAGAGACACTGAAAACATCATTATAAAAACTGAAAGAAATGTTTTGAAGGACAGAAACATGGAGCTGTAAGATACCCTACAGTGGTTTGCCCTCTTCTGCTGTGATGAAGGGACATTTGACCTGAGTTCTCAGGCTGAGATGAGTTGATCAGTTAGAAAGGTGAAGAATATTTGAAGTAATGTGGAATAGCACATGCAAAGTTCCCACGGTAAAAGTGGGGATGGTATTAGAGGAATTGAGGAAGGCATTAGGTCCAGAATGCAAAGACTGATGGAGGAGTGGGGTTTGGGTAAATAGGTGCTGAAGTGTACAGGGTCCTAATTTAGGTCCTAATATGTCTATTAAATATTTATGTCATGAGTGGAATGGTAAGCCATTAAGGAATCACTAGAAAAGGTTTGAGTATCTTCAGAAGTCTTTGAAAATACTTTGCCTTAAGCATGTCATTCAAATTAGCTATGGAAGTATTTTCTAAAGTTGGAAAATGTTAAATAAAATATCAGTGATTTTGATTAAAGTAGGTCTGGGTGGATAACCCATTCTGGGGACCCCTCTCTACTGCAGAAAGCCATTTCTCTACTTTTCAATAAAACCTTGCTTGCCCTTCAAATGAAATGAAATGAGATGAAATGAAATAAAGTAGAACCAGGCCACTCTTCCCCAAATGATGTTGCACTATCTTGGTGTCATTCCATGAACACTCTGGGACTATGTACCTTCTTACCAGTCTGGTACATATAGAACCAAGAACTACATGCAAGACAATTAAGGGGTATCAGCCAGCCAGCCCAGGTACAATCTGTCTGTGACCGCCATTTGCATAGCCAAAATGTCTAACATCAGATAATGTCTCTGTGAATGAAAAGGCTTCCTGTTCAGTTCTGCCCAATAGATGTTAGTAGTTTATCAGATCACCTTAACTGTTGCTGGAGCCCTGTAGAAGTGGTGAACAGGATGAATTCTGGTTGCAAAGCTGTGAGAACCTTTAGAGCAGTAAACGATGTCAACTTCAGCCAGGGAGCTTCTCTTATGTGATGGATGTTGACTGAGGAAAAATTTCCTAATTAACCAGGACCAACCCCAATGAAGGGCTTTACACTGAAGATGGACAATTCTTTACTGAATAACAGGCCCATACTAACGTCAAAGAATAGGATTAAAGATGTAGGTGTTCAAAGTGATTAATTCCAAATCTGCAGCCTTGTATGCTTTAATTCAAAACAAACCTTCAGATGTACAAACTTCTAAGAAGAGCAAATGATGCATCAGCATCTCAAGGGCAGAGATGGCAGGTGCTCTTGATTGGACCTAAGGACCTGTTGACTTCAGACTTAGGGACTATATGTGATAATAGAATTCAGTGAGAACTTCCACCAGATGGTAGAGGCCCAGCAGTACTACTGGAAAGCCCACACCTCCATCCTGAGCCTTAATTTTTCCTTTTCTGCTCCACTCATCCCGTTTACTCCTTTGGTTACTTGTTGCAGCTGCAAGAGAAGGCGGTGAGGTCCTCCTGTGCAGACTCTGCTAAACTTAGTGTCTCTTACCTTGGGCTTTGACATCATCCACCACAGGACATGGGGTCTTCACGATCACATCACTTGGCCTGGAGCGCCGTCCTGTGTTGTCCACTCCCCATAGGGTAAACCTGGCAGGAGGTAGGAATGTAGCATTACTAGAAAGGATATGGGTAGGGGCTGGGGATGTGCGGCCCTAGATAGAGAACCAGCTTTGCCTGGATGGTAAGTCAGGACCCTGATTGCTCCTGCCATCTTGAGGCACACTTTCTGCCACCCTCTGATTAGGAATTGGCTATCTGACACCTCTCACTGCTTCCTGTGGTCTCTGGTTGGGATGTGTGTCTTGAGTATTTTCTAGTAGGAAGTATAGTGAGAGTGACTTGTTTTCTTTATAGGTTCCCTAGACCAGCAGTCTCAGCACCATGGCTGAAAATTCTCAGGCCCCCAAGCCTGACTTACTCAACAAGAGATAGGGACTAGAAAGCTCTGCTTTACCAAGCTTTATTAAACCTTCTCTCAGTGATTTTTTTTTTCTTTCTTTCTTTATTGTTTTTGTTTTGTTTTGCTTCCCAACCTGGTCTTGAATTCTAGGCCTCAAAGAATCCTGCCTCAGCCACTTGAGTACCTGGAACTTCAGGTGCATGACACAGCACTGAGCCCCTTCCAAATGATCTGAGGCCAGTTTTATTCTGACTACCACTGAGTGGGAGAAAGAGTCTATGCCTTTGGAAACAGATGGCTAGAACTTGGATCTAAAAGCACACAGAGTTAAAGTTAACATGTAACTCCTGTGAGCCTTATTTTCCCTTATCTAGAAATGAAGAGAATAAGAAGTCAGTGTGAGGATGAAAGGAGATTTTGGTGTACAGGAAGCCCTGGATCATCACACATTGACCGGCACAAATCATGTTAGTTCTGTCCTGTCCAGTTGACACCTTTATGTAAAGTACTAAGAACAAATTCATTCTTTAAAGTCAGAACAGCCAGAGTGAAAATCTCCTTGGCTTATCTGTGGTTCATCTATGTGGAGCTTGCTCTGTTCCAGGGAGCTGCTCTCACTGAGGAGCAGGAATGTGGATGGAAATGTTGTAGTCCCAATGCAATCCCAACAGTGGAACACCAGGTTCAAGGGAATCCATTGGGTGATGGAGCTGATAGAAAGAGAAAAGAGACTCCAGGGTCCCATATACAAGACCAATTTAAACTAACCATGAAAATAAGTCCTGGCATCTGCACAGGCCCTCTGACAACCGATTAGGCCCGCCTGAAGGAAATCACTACCACTGCCTTCCTGCCTCTGTGCTGTGTGGCCACAGAAGGCTGCATTTATTAGCAAACATGGATTTTTGTTTCTATTGCCAGAGCTATAGAGAGGAAGAGAGAAGAGAGAAGAAAGGGGAACAAAAAAAAGGTTGTAGGCCCAGGTAAATGTTAGCTGAGCCTTAAACAGTTGAAACTGTCAAACAAAGAAATGAAAACAACCAATAATTCTTCCAAGAAATGTGTTCCTTTCAACAGAGAAAAAAACTTGTGCTCACCATCTTTTCCTCAGAGGATGATCAGAACAGGAATCTGTATACCCTGAGATGTTATGCACCCTACTTTTCCTTCCCCATCCTCACACCAGCACCATGGAGGCCTCACAAGAACCCTGATTGGTGAACCTAAAATATGATGGCCTGTTTAGATCCAGGATACATGGGCCAGACCATACTTGCTGGATGTCTGAAGGGCTTTCCCAGTCCTTGGACCAGGCCCAAGCATTCAGCTTCCTCTCTTATTTACACAGGTGGTCCAGCCTTCCCCACGGTGTTTGCTCTATGCCCTGCTCTTAAGCTCTGCTCAGTGGCCTTCCTTAGCAACACCACCAGTAACCCTCCCCACCCACACATTCCCTGATTCCAAACCTAGCATCTTGCCACTATTTCTCCCGCCATTCCTTTCCTCTTAGCCTCTACTTCATACAGCTTCCCATGGGAGGAAGAGACTATACTGACACCCTGACACCCACCCCAACACTGACAGCCATAATTCCTTTCATTCCTCCCCACTCATATCCCATCAACCTCTTCATCCTGTTTATAGAATTGTGACCCAGGTCCCCAAATCTGTAGCTGGTACACCTGACCTGTCTGGAATCAGCTCCATTTCTGAGTCCAATTCTTTAATCTAGCCCCAGACATTCAGCTGAGGGTCTCAAGGGTGGGTCTAGAGGTTCCATGGACTTCCCCCATGTAGACTTGCGCCTTAGGGTGTGCGATTCCCATGCCAAGTCAGTTTCTTGGTGTTTGTTAATAGCACAGGAAGCCAGAAAGTTGAAGGAGTCAGTATAGAACAACCCTTGGTAAGACTACAGGCAATATATGCATACACATAAAATAAAATAAAAATAACAAATAAAACATTTTTAAGAAAGACTCTCCTTTGGGGGTCTGAGTGAGACCTTCTCTGTCTTGCCTGCCAAGGCCTCTGTGTGTGAGAAGTCCGTCTTCTGCCCAGATATGGGTGATTTAATCTTTGCTGCAGGCTCTGTCACTTCCAGCAGTTGTTCTCAGGAGAGCTAGAAGATACAAATCCCTGTTCTTTGCAGGCTGATATTCCAGAGCTGGCATGGTCATGGGGATGCGTTACAAGCTGGCTCTGTGCCCCAGTCCTCATAGGTGGCGACTCTTCCTTCAGCACTACAAGTCCAGATAAAGCTATAGTCTGGTTACTACAATGGCTAACTGCATGCTGCTACCTGCCAGTATGCTGAAGGAACCATTCTAGACTCGATGGCTGGCACCACTGTTTGTAGGCCACCATCGTTTAATCCTGGACCCAGTTTCCCTGGACTATGAAGGGAAACATCCTACGCTCTGAGTGTCAAACTGACCTCTGATGGACTTTGTCTCTCAGTGCCTGGGGTGGAGTCAGTCTCCAACCTTGTCCATGCTCCAGGCTGCTCTGCTTTCTATCTTGTCCTGCTGTAAGCTCCATCTACCCTGTGTCAGATCCTGCACTGAGGCAAAGATGCCTGTGTTTACATTATTTCTCTCATACTCTGAAGGGTAGTTAGTATAAAATGCAAGTCTCTAAGCTCTAACTATTTAATAGCACATTTTTTAAAACATGAAGCAGCTATTAGGAAATGAAATGCCTCATCTAACCTTCCAAGTAGAGACAGAGCTTGACCTTAAGAGTCATTCCTCAGCAGTCCTAGCCCCTCCTCTCTGGACCCCAGAGACACTGAGAGAGCATTTGACTATTAAGGGCTGGGGAGCACTTTAGACATTTTCATGTGGAAATGCCATGTGCCATCGTTTCAGAAAGGCCTTACTTTTTATTGCTCGCATTTTCATCCCTCCGTGGCACACTCATAGGACAGCAAGAGAGTTAGCTGGATTACTGACAGAGGAGATAAGCCTCGCTCCAATCCAGAGGGCTCATGTGTAAGTCTGCTTATTATTTCTTCCAAAGCTTCTGGGCTTCCTCCCCAGCTGCCCAGCTAGGACAGTTCAGTGCGTAGTTAGCGACGTGGTGATGACACGGGTGGAGGCATGTGTGCGTGGAAACCCAACACAGACTGTATCTGGTTCCAGGGTTTGGTCTTAAAGGCCTGGAGCCTAAGGTGAATGAAGATTGTAAGCCTGTCAGGGGCTGGCTACAGGGCTGGCTGCAGGGCTGACTGCAGGGCTGGCTGAAGAACTAGCCGCAGGGCTGGCTGCAGGGCTGGCTGCAGGGCTGGCTGCAGGGCTGGCTGCGGTGCCTGCTGCTTTCCTTGTTTTCTTCTTCTGGTGTGATGACTTCTGTTGATCTTCTGACTGGGCTACCCTTTTCTGAATTATGTCTCCGGTCACATGTTCAGAAATGTAGGGACTCTCCTGTGGTCAGGTGTTGTGGTGAGACAGCAGTGGGATGGAAGGTGGATCACCTCCCCTCTCTGTAACATGGAGATGTTGGATTGGACACATGCTAAGGGATTAACTGTTTTTATGCCACAGCCCATTCTCAGAACAATGTTTTCCTAATGGTACTAAATTAAATATATTAGATGACAAACGTGGCTAGCTGAAATTCAGTGGTATCTTCATAACCCCCAGGGAGAAGCCAACTCTTGCTTTAGCATGTAAGATCATGCTACAGGGTCCCGGCAGTAACCTGGGGGTGTTGAAAAGGCAAAGAAACCCAGATTCAATCCTTAACAACTAGCTGTGTTATTATGGAGAAATTATTCAATTCTCCTGAACTTCAGTTTCTTCAACTATAAAATGGGAACAAGCATAGTCTCACAGGTCCATAACCAAGGGCTACTGTCCTCCTAATTTATAGATAAGAAAACTTAGTGACAAAAGGTTTACAGGTTGTATTTATTTTCACTTCATAGGTAAAACACATGAAACCAGGTTCGCAGTCTGTTTTCTTATCTCTTAGTCCAGGACCCTCTCTCTGTACCAGGGACTGAAGTACATACAAGTTTTCCTTGTTCCTGGCAGACAGGAGTGTTTTGTCTCCCAGCCAACAACACCCTTTTCCAGTGAGCTGCAGCGCCACCTAGTGGAAATCGGCTGTTGTTTGGCCTCGGGAACCTCTCCCATTTCAAAAATCAGCAATGACAGGAAGTTGGGGTTTTACAAAACAGAGGAGGGGAATACTGGAAGATCACCAAGGATGTTGAATGTGGGGAAGATCCTAGCCGCAGATCTTTCACTAGGCAACAAAGCCAAATCAGGCCACCATAAAGAAGGTCCCAGAATGGGTAGTAAATAGGCCTTTCTAAAAGACAGCTGTGTCAACCTCGTGCTCACAGGAACTTCTTATTTCCTAATTAACAGTTATGACTTACTGACAGGAATTACTACGCCCTCATTATAAATGATCATACAAGTCTCATTGAGTTTGAGGCTCTTTATAGCAGATTTCTGGCCTGCAGTCCCAAAATTTTGTTCCTCTCATATGAGCCCCTCCGCTGAAGAGCCACAGTTGTCCAATTTCAAATCCTCCCCAAAGAACAGACAGATAGTCCTCGGTCTTAGCATTGTCATCCGTGTCTGTACATCCTTCCTAGGTCCTCAGATATCACTAGTCTTTATGTATTTTACTTTCAGCCTGTGTAGCCCAGAGTGATATCACCTGTTCCTGTAAGGAAGATATTCTCTTGAGCATATGAGTTCATTGCTATCAATGCCACTCAGATTTCTAGTGCTTTTCATTCTTGAACTCTTTAAGAGTGGAAATGGAGATGATTTATTCTGGAAACCTTGACTCTATGCCTGTGACCTCATCTGTAAACTGTTAGATGTTTTTCATATTGATGGGGTCAAAAGGCCCCAGAACTGCATCACTCTGAATTCTGTGTTAGCCCCTAAATTTTTCCATCATGACTTAGATTCTATTACTATATCTCCTCTTTTGGCACCTCTGAGGTCTTTGCTTCACAAATATTTTACATTTGTTCCCAGAGTACAGGGAGAGATAGAAAAGAGTTCACAGAGACACAGGGATGTTCCAAGGGTGGTGATGATATAATTCACTGTATTTTCTTTGAAGAAAAATTCGGATCATTTAGAAACTCTATAAATTATGTCGGTACCATTGGAGTACCATTGTACTTCCTGAAGTACAATTCTTGGTATTCTCCTCCTTCCTTAAAAAGAGCAATTAATTAATATTTTCCTCTGATACACAGCATTCACTCTATGCTCCCAGGCTCCTTTTCTTCCATTTCCTTTCACTCACCATCTGCTTCAGCCCAATTAGACCACCTCCTACTTCCCTTTCTCTCTCCCTTTGCCCTTGAGGTTTCCTAGCCCTGTGTGCCTTTTCCAGCACCGCTGTGACTACTGAATTCTATACAACCCAATTTGGAATCTAGACACCCACTCTACTTAGAATAAATCACTTCCTCCTTTTCTCTTCAATATGGTCCTTGCTTTTCTAGTTAACATTTATTCCATTTGGATTCAGTTTACAATTATATGTTTATATATGTCTTGTCTATAATGCAAACTCCTTGGGGACGAGACTTCTATCTTCTAGATGCTCCCCACGCCTCTGAGCACTCAAGACACTTCTCTGTAAGGCCTGTTGAGTTAAGACTTCAGAGAACACAAAAATCTCTTGCCAAGTTGCTAAGAAAAGGGAACGAGCAAAGAGGGGTACCTGGGGCTTTCTGGGTAAGGAATCACTGGGTATGTGTTTGTTACTTACATGTAAATGGTATCAGGTTCCAAGCATCTGATGATGAGAGAAATGGTAGTGAGTTGCTTGTCTGGCACCTGAGATGGCATGGCACAAGGGGCCTTTGCTCCAGAGATGATGTCGTCTACAAAGCTCAGCACTGTTTCTGCCCAGAGGAGAAGGAATGGGAAAAGCGTGAGAAGCAGTGTTGTCCAAACAATGAACAGGTCTAGGAGAACTTACTGAAACTGTCTGATCCCCAAGATTCTTAAATTCCTAGTAGAAAGAGAAGACCTGAAAGGAAAGGTCTTTTTTCTGTTTCACATTTAACTAAATGAGAGCTATTTGTCCAGAGTTATCTCAAAAACTGCTAAAGCAAGATGCCACATCTCTGAAATCTTCCATGAAACAACTTGGGACGGAAAGACAACAGTTGTGCTGGTCCTTGGGCCTTGAGAGATTGTAACAGTATCTGTCCATGCCAAGGGAAGAGCCCGAGAAGCTGCAATGGGCAGCTCTCCATGCCCAAAGGAAACTGTATGTGTTTCCCAGCTTTATCCCCATGTTCACTAGAAACTCTTAGATTGTGGACATTCCTGACCTAGTGGGGACCAAATTTTGTGTAAAAGTCTTAGGAACCGTTTATGTTGGCTTTTCCCTACATGTAGATAGTGGAATAGTAAGGCATGAGATGTTTTTATTTCCAAGGGTTATTTCCATTCATTTAAGGCTTCTCTCTCCTCTCAGGACTTGACAAAAGCCAGTTTGTTTCAGGACAAGACATGGATCAAGAGCATCCGTTTGCACATGCCTTTGCCTAGAGGGGGTTATTAGCAAAGGAATTTTTTTTCTGTAATCATGGCAGTGGTTAGCAGAGAATTGTTTCTTAATTGTGGGCTAGGATAACTTGTGTACTGTCTTGTTGTTGCCTTGTGAGTGTGCCTGGAGGCAGTGAAATGGACACCTCTTTTGTAAACAAAAAGAAAAGCAAAATCAAAACAAGGTTTTGTAGATGCTCACCATACAAAAACTCTAAAAAGTACAAGATGGCTGCTGCCTGGAAGAGCCAACAGCTGCAGCCTCTGCCTGCTTCTCTGTGCTGCCTCAAGATATTAGGGACCTGGAGCAAAGCCACAAGAGGCAGGGCGTTTTACTTTTGTTTTATTTTTACCCCCTTGGATCAAGACTAACCCAGGAGATAGGGTGTGCTGACCTGTCTCTACTTTGGAGTGGTCCATCCTGTCGGTGACTTTCTCTTGACGAATGAGGTAGTCTACAATCTGCACCCCAATGGGTGGCTCAGAATGTTCCCACTCCAGGACTACAAGGGTGCTGCTGGGTTCATGCACCGTGGAAAGTCTCAGCCTGAATGCAGAAAGGAAGGAATATGAAATGAGGACCCAGCTGGCACCTGCATCCCTCACTAGCCACCATCTCAACTGTTACATTACAAACTCTTACAAATGACTACAAGAGACTCTCTGAGCATTTATCTTTCACTAGATATTAAGGTTCCTGAAGACCCATGAGGTCTATGCTTTATGGATCTTGTAAATAAACAAATAATAAGCACATAAGTAAAGATCAATGAATGTCTGCATGTTTCAAGGGCCTGTGGATTGAGATTTGCCTAAAGGTCTTCTTTATATGGTTTGAAAATACAAGTTCTGGATTTTCTCTTGAGGTGTAATGCCCATTTCAAAGCACCTTAAAGGTGTCCAATAGAATCGTGCGTTAGTAAGGCCATGGTAGTTTAGGATCTTTAACTTTAATCAGGACCTGCCCGGCCCTGCTTTCCCCTTGCTATGAACACTAATCTGTCTCCTTCGGGTCATCTGCTGGCTGAGCCTCAGAATAGGTTCAGCTTGCTCAGAGGAGACCTGTGTCTGCTGCTCTGGATCTTATGTCAGTTTCTGCCTTTGCTTTCGGGTTTCTATGAATACCCTGGTTGCCGATTTCAGTTCCCATTTGATTTTCACTGTTCACTGTCACATCATTCTCCTGACATTGTCTTTTTGACCACTGCTTTGCCTAGCCATCGCATACTTCTTTGTATCTTGTAGAAACTCAGTAACCAACACTGTCTATTCAGGTGGTTTCAGTTCATTGCCTTGTTCTGACTTTGACTATGTGGCTCAGGGTTCCTTCTTGCTTCCAATTCCTACTTTCTCCCAAGACCATTGAATTGTGAGGATTTTCCCAGTTTCTGTTGACTCTAGCCTCCCCTCTGACAAGCATCCCTAGCCTTCACTCACATCTGTGCCCTTGGGTTCTCTCTCTGAAAACTGTCTGAAGTCCTGGCTTTTCTAGACTCTGCTCAACTCACAGGTGCCTGTTATGGTCTCAAGGACCAAAGGACAAGACAGTATGGCTGGATCACACCAAGCTACATGCAGTGTTCAACAAATATTTATGAAGCATCTATGAGCTGCAAAGTTTTACTTGATGCTAGAAGTGCAGTGCACACAAGCACACCTCAGTTCTTCTTTTAGGAACCTTCATAAATAACAGAAACATACAATTATACATGTGATAAGACTTAACAAGAAACCCCGGGATGCTGTAAGGCCAATAGAAAGGGGTTCAACTAGTGAGAAATAATAAAAAACACATGGTCCTCTGCTAGAGGCTACTATGAAGGAGTGCATAGTTTGCATATGACATTAGGATGGAGTAGACCCAAAACAGTGCGGATATTGACAAATTCATTAATTAGAGTCATATGCAGAATGCTATTTTGAAGAAAAAAGCATTAGGAAGCAACTTAAGTAACTAAGCCTTCTGAGAACTCAAATTCTGTGAAAATATGAATGAAGGTCAGGTCAGCTCCCCCTGAGAAATTGAAGTGTGTTTGATTTACATAAGCTTATGTAAAAACACTGCATTTCTACTTTCAACTACCAATTAAAGCTTAAGAAAACAAGATTATTGAAAGACGTGACTGGAGTTGTCAAGAAAAGTGAAGTCTTTAATAGACACTTCCTGTTTATGATACTTAGCTCAACTTGATCTTCAGTTATGACATTCAGTTAATAAGTGTTTAGAAATGAATTCCACCTAAGGACGGTGGCTGGACCTTGTGTCCCTGTGATGACTGTCTGGTGGTCAGTGTTAGCTTTCTATAGCAGCATTATTACCTGGTGAATTTGTCTAACAGTATCAGATACCCAAGTGGCCCCTTTCCTACTAAATGAAATGACTTTTACTTATTAAGATTTTGTTTATCTTTTGATTCAGATATCCAAGATATGGCTACAAGGAGCAAAAAGCCCATGGTCCAAGTGTTTAAAATTACCTACACAGAGAAGAAACTGGTTTGCAACGATGATCTACTGGGAAAGATTATCATCTGTCTCAGCTTTCTTCTTGTTCGGTCCTGTCCCTTTAACATCTACCCCCTACAGCCAGTGGGGAGGGCAACCTCTGCTTTCTGCTTCCTGTCTATGGTCCATCGGTCTGTGTATTCAGTCCTCCAGCTGTGCAGACCTGCTTCTCCCTTTGGGCTTTCCTGACCTTATGAATGCATGGGGTCATGTGCTACCTGCTTGCCCTGTAAGGCTTTTTGCAGACATAATATTTCTGTGGCTTAACTTCTGTGGAAGATGCCATACTATAAAATAAACTGGATTCCTGTTTTGACCGCAGGTCCTCAGCTTGGCCAGTTCTGTTTAGCCTTCCTGAGAGAGGAAGGAATTTGTACACGTTCATTCTCTGCCACCTTTGCAGCACTTCATCCTCTTCATTTTTCAAATAGAGACACTCTCCTGAGCTCATCCCAGGTCCTCTGCTCTTCACGTGGGTGTTGGTTCTGGAGCATCCTTGCTCATTCCTATGACTCCCTCTATCATTTCTCTGAAACTGACTGAAACCTTGATATCTATAGACTTTACTTTTTCACAAAGCTCCATCTTTCTCTATGCCCACTGACCATCTATAGAACTTCGCCAGCTCCCAGCAAGCGCCAGTGGAACTGGCCTTTTTCTCAAATCTGTCTTTCCTCTGATGCTTTCCTTCCCAACTGTGGTCTCTTTGCCCAGCCGTCCATAACTCTTCAGTCTATTCTCAGGATTTCACTATTCCTCTCCATAGTTAATCAGACACCATGCCTTGGTGGCTCTACCCAAAATCTGTTCTTGATAAGAGCATCGTCTCCATATTATGATGATCTCTTAGCCCTGGTCCTACTTCCTGTTCTATCTCTTTGGAAAAATTATTCAATCCATTTAAAGTGATTTCTTTGTCCATTAATTCAGGGTGTGGTGACACCAGTATTAATGTGCTCCTTCCAAAGCCTGGCATGCAGGAAGTCTTTGAGAAGCAGTAGTGTTATTGGTCCTGTTAAGCCGTAGCTCAACTTCCTCCATTGCAATAGGACCGCTACCTTTATCATACTCCAACCACACTGTCTTACTTTTCCCTCCTTAATGGAGGAAGTTCAATTGCTACCTGCTCCATCAAGCCTTTAGCATTGCCCAAATTCAGATCCAACCAACAACCCCACATTTTCTTTAAATGCTTGTAACGTTTGTCACATTCCTTCTATTTAACAATGTCTGTGTTTGCCCCTTCTAGCACGTTGAACTGAAGGCAGGAGCTGGCCTGTATTCTTAGTTCCACTCCCCAAACACTCAGACTCTTGCTCTGCAAATGGTATTCACTTGATCCTATTTTTGCACAATGATGCTGAGGCATGCATGTAGGAGAAGAGCAAGGAAAGGGAACCATACACAGGCTGTGGGAGAGGTGCACAGGTGGGGAGTCCATCAGCTCCAAAAGCAGTAGAGTCACATCGACACCAGTCTTCAATGACATCTCCAGTCCCTGAGCACCAGAGAGAGCTCATGGTGGCCTCCTGTAAGAGCTGCACAAAAGACCAAAGAGTGTCAGGAAGTCAGGGTTGGGTCACCATTAACCAGAGACTGGAGCATCAAGGTTCTAGGTGACCCTAAATTGCTTCCAGAGAGAAGGTTCTATCATCCCATGACCATTCTTTAGTCTGAAATCATATCTCAGGAGATGGACTCTGGGGTATCCTTCTCCTTTAGAATAAGGGTTCATCACTATGGTTAAGAGTTATCAATTCATAAACCAGATGTGACACAGGGCTGTAATCCAGCATTTGAGAGGTGGAGGAAGGAGAGTCAAACATTCAGGGTTATCTTTAGATATATAGCAAGCTTGATACCAGCCTGAACTAGAAATCCTGAGAAGAGAGGGAAGGGGAGAGAGAGGGAGAGGGAGAGGGCGAGAGAGAGGGAGAGGGAGAGGGAGACAGGGAGAGAGAGAGACAGAGAGGGACAGAGAGGAAGAGAGAGAGAGGGAGGGAGAGAGAGAGGGAGATGGAGATGGAGAGGGAGAGGGAGGAGAGGGAGAGGGAGACAGGGAGAGAGGACAGAGAGGGACAAAGAGGAAGAGAGAGAGAGAGAGGGAGAGAGAGAGGGAGGGAGAGGGAGGGAGTGGGAGAGAAAGGGAAGGAGAGGGAGGGAGGAGTGGGAGAGAGAGGGAGAGGGAGAGAGAACTTTGAAAGCAAATTGGATTCTATTCTGTCTCCCCCACACTGGACTTTATCACCCTGAACCATGGACTCTAGTAACAATAAGTTCTTTACCACACATCTCTGGGTGGCCTGCCTTCCCCACACTTCTCTCTACTCAGAGGCATTTTGCCCTCCCTCAAATGCCTCCCTGAGGATCCTTACCTGTCCTTTCCATCCTTCCCTAGTCCTTCCTTCATGCTCCCTCAGCATGTCTGTGACCCACTTAGAATATGTGTGCAGTAGGCATTGGGTATCTTTCTTACACCTTGAAGAGGCGAAGCCATACGGCATAAAGACTAAGTTCTGAGCTCTACATCAGTCTGCTATGAATGATAACCCCTATCAGTCACAGCCAAGCAACCTTGGATAAGTTACATAAATTCAGTTTTCTCAATGATAAAATATGATTGAAGATAAAATAGGATAAATAGCACATTCTTAATAGGGGTGCTATAGCAATTAATAAAACAATCTATGCTAAGTGAAATAATATATGCACAGCACCCTATAGAGATTAATCATCGATAAATGCTAGCAACTATTACTGTTTTTGAATGACAGGGTTCTGCCTTACATAGTCTTATAAAAACCACAGTCTGGCACAGTTCTTTATATGCACTAGTCTCATGGGGCTGTTTGATGTTGAATGAAAGGACGAAAGATAAAGACCACAGAGGAAACAAAGTTTGTGACAGGAGCAATCCTCTGGTGAAAAAGTGAATCCTGAATGGGACTGACCCCTTAGAGGCACCTTCCTTCCTCAAACCAGGGAAAGTAGCATAGCTGTCCCGCAAAAGAGCAGACTAAAAAAAATCAAAAGGAAAAGAAGAAAATAAAAGAAGGAAGGAGAGAAGGGAATAAAGGGAGGGAGAGAAGGAAGGAAGGAGGAAAACAGGAAGGAAGGAAGGAACGAAGGAAGGAAGGAAGGAAGAAGGAGGAAGGAAGGAGGAAGGAGGAAGGAAGGAGGAAGGAGGAAGGAAGAAAGAAGGAAGGAGGAAAGAGGAAGGAAGGAGGAAGGAGGAAGGAAGAAGGAAGGAAGAAGGAAGGAAGGAGGAAGGAAGGAAGGAAGGGGGAAGGAAGAAGGAAGGGGAAGGAAGGAAGGAAGGAAGGAAGGAAGGAAGGAAGGAAGGAAGGAAGGGAGATAACTCCACAAAAATCCAACTAGACTGAAAGCCAGTTATCCTAAGACTCATTTCTTCAAAATTCTAAATGGGCCACTTGAGGTTATGAGCTGGAGTAAGGGTGACTTCCCTCTTGAGATTGGAACCCTCTGAGAAGGAGGATCCAGTTCCTGACTACAACTATGATTTGTATAAAGCTTATAATTTACAAGTCCCTGTAGATACTAGCAGGTTGATAAATGGTAGTCATGGCTTAGAGTGGGGGACTCTGAGAGTGAAAGTTAGATGGCCAGATCAGGGTCACAGGCTGGTGAATACAGCAGTGCTAGGAAATGAGCTCTGGGTGGTTCACTGGACATCTCAGGCCCCTCCCACTAAGATCTCTTAATTAGCATTGAGTCCACCAGTGAGGCGCTCACTTTGTGACTTTTAGACCGAAGCAAATTCAAAGTGTACATTTTTTAAAACTAGGAAACAGATTCTTTGAGATAAGAATAAAGTGAAGTTGTATCTGCTGCCTGATAGAGTCTTCAACCAACAATTATTTGCTAAGTATTTATAAGGGGCTGTTTCCTGTGCAAAGCATGAAAGATGTAGTGACACACAGGACACAGATGGCCCCCGTCTGCATAAATGTTACAGCCAGGTAATAAACAAGCAAGCAAAATAATGTAAATATCCAAATTCCACAGTTGTACTGAGGGTTCCAAAAGGCAAGATGAGGTGTTGTGGGCTCCCCGGCACCAGGAGGGAAAACGAGGGGTGTGTGATTCCACTAGCTCACCAAAGAATTTTGGAAAGCCAATATGAAGAGGGAAAGATACTATTCAGCTACAAAGAAGAAGAAATTCTGTCCTTTTCAGAAACATGAATGGAAAATGCGGACATCGTGGGAAGTGAAATAAGCTAGGAATGAAAAGACAGGTTTATGTTTTCTGTCTTATATGGAAACATAAACAAAAATGACCTGAAAGTAAAAGAGGAATCGTTCAGTAAGAGGAAGGGGTGGGCGAGTGGCCAGAAGGAGAAAAAAGGTTGGGAAGGAGGGTGGCGTGATCAAAGTGCAATATTTGTATGGAAATGTAACAGTGAAGGCCATCAATCCGTATAATTCATAGATTTATGATTTGAATTTTAAAGTTAGTCACAAAACTCGTAGGATTATAGGTAGCAAAACTACTATTAAGAAGACTTGACTTTTGATGAAACTTGACTTCTAAAATCAACTGGAAAAAATGTTAATCTGTCTATAAGAGATAAATTGGGGCTAATAGTTTCTCTGCAAGTGATGGGGAGGCAGGGCTGGATTACAGAGGGCCCAGGGGCCAGTGTAGGGAGAGGTCCTGTTTTGAGAACAATGGTGAACCACTACAGGGTTTTAAATATGGCACATGATGAGAGTTTTTAATCCAAAGGTATGAAAAAAAATATGATACAAGTATTTTAAATACTGTTTCTTCAAAAGCTGTAACCGTATCTTTGATCAACACCACTCCATGAGTGTTTCTGTTCTCTGAATCCTGGGCTGCAGTTAAGTGCACCAGGTTAGATAAGCATATTTGATGGTTTGTGTAGGAAGTGCCCTTCTCAAAGGCTCATGTATTGGAGACTTGGTTCCCAGGTGATAACACTAGGAATTATTGGAGGATATTAACTTCATCAACAGATTAATACATTGATTCACTAATAACCGAATGGGTACTGGGAATTAAACCCTAATGAGAGGAAGCAGGTCACCAGGGGCTTCATTCTGAATGGTATATGCTATTCACGGAATCTTTCTCTCTGATTCTCTTTGCTTCCCAGCTAGCATGACTTGAGCAGCCTCTTCCACCACGTGCCCCTTCTGCCATGATCTTCAACCTCATCATCAGCCCATAGCACTAGAGCCAGGCAACCATGGACCAAGACCTCTGAAGCTGTGAGCCAAAGTAGATCTTTCCTCCTTTTCAGTCGTTTATGTCAGGTATCTTGTCACAGAGATGAAAAACTGACTAAAAATAGAAGCAAGAAGGCAATAAGGAGCTCTATTAAAAAGGAAGAGAAAGAGAAATTCCCCTATTTTTTTAAAGTATCTACAATGTGTCACGCCATACATTTCCCAGGGAATTTACATTTGATATCAGATTATATAGAGTGCTGCTACCCTAACCATGTAAGAGAAGACAGATTGGAAAATGTAGTTGCCTTGTAATAGCGTGCCAAAGACTCTAGATTACACCCAATCTGAAGAACCTTTAAATTACCTTGATGCAATATAGCCAGATGTCAATGACACTAACTCCATGTGTTTACCTGAAGATTATTGCAAATATGATGATCTGATTTTACAATCAATAGTTAGGTTTTCTAGGGGTCTTAGAAAAGAAAATGGAGTCTGGATATCCCTGTTGCTCCTGATGATGGAAAAGATACTGAGAATGACAAGGGAATTCTAACAGTTTTGGTTTGGGCAAGTTAACAGCATATAGTGTCATTCACTGAGAGAGGGGCACAAGCGGTAAGAGTCTGTGACACAAAATGATGAGCTAAAACTTGTTGTTAGGGTGTTTAAATGGTTTAAACAACTTACTTATCATGATCATAAATTCTACTGAAATATAGTGTCAGAGATTATTTAGCCAACATTAGAAGAATGAGACCAAGATAGATAGAAATCCTAAAGGCACTCATTCAGAAGGGTAGATGAAAATACACACTGAGTTACTAATGCCATGCTCAGCACCAATCCAGCTCTCCTCAGCTTTCTTTGGGAGAAAGTGCAAAATCAGAATGAAAAGCAGTTTACAGAAGGAATAACAAAGGCAGATCATGTCATTACACACATAAAACAGAGGAGGAATGTCCCCTGATAGTGAGTGAACTCCATCTAGGACCAATTTGCCTGCATTTAGAAATTGATGCTCAAAATGGGGTCAAACAGACAGTGTCTTCCCATCCTCTGTGAAGACCAGTGCAGGGTGCAGGCGTCTGGAGTACAGAATACTAATACTCTAACCATGTAAGAAAAGACAGATTGGATAATGCTGTACCTTGTAATGACATCCTAAGGACCCTAGATTGCACCCAGTCTGAAGAAACTTTATATTACTTGATATAATATAGTCAGAAAGGCTATAGCAGGGCTGGTAGGTTTTTGGTAAGTAGAGAATCCAGAAAGGGGCTGCTGGAGATGAACTTCCCTCAGTACCCTAGCTTTCATTGAGATTCCCCCTCATCCCTCATCTTACACTGAGCTCCTCTCTCTCTATTCTGCCACTTCATTCACAAGATGGTTCTGCTGAGCTATCAGACCCCAGTACTCCCAGACCAGTGACACAGGAAGTCGTTGGTTATCAGGGGCAGCAGCCTTGGGGAAAACATGGGCTAGGAATACACCTTTTGGGTGTCCACTGACCCACGCCCTTCCTTCTTGCTTCATGTTCCCCTGTGGTAGCCTTTTCTTTCCCAATCCTCTTCCCATAGCCATATCTATCAGATTCAGGAGGAATTTGTAGGTCTGCAGGAACAATTTGTCTTTTTTTTCCTGTGAAAAATTGTATTTTCAAACACTCAGAAATATCCGTGGTAGAGGCAGCAGGTGAGAGAAACAGACACATGCAAAATTCTTCCTGTTGGTCTGAGCACCACCTATGAAACAAACTGTGACACACCAGGTGTCCCTTCAAAAAGAAAAAAGGAAGCAATTATCACTCCACCTGGATGGGCATGCGTCTCAGTCAGGTAAGCAGCGCACGGCTGCAACTGGCCGTCTTCTTTCCAGACTGCCTTTCAGTCTCAGAAGCTTCATGCTTGGAGCTTCTGTTTTGCTTTTGTCATTGTTAGTGTCGTGTGTGTGTGTGTGTGTGTGTGTGTGTGTGTGTGTGTGTGTTTCCCCTTTCCTTCCTCTACTTTATCATCTATAAGAAAAGGAAAAACACATTGTTTGAGGAGTTGGACTCCCGGCGTGCTGGAGGACACTTTGCAGCATGTCAAGCAGATATTGACTTTGAGCCTATATGTTCTTGAGGAGGTCAGAGGGCCAGGAAGTAGGCTGATACAGCCTCTGCCCTCTCTTTGCAGCTGGTCCTTTACCATTCATTCATTTTCTCCTGATATTCAAAAATAAAACGGAGGAGCAAAGATAAAGAAGGGGTGCTTGGGAAATATCATGACCTAGCAGCATCATGAAAGGCAGGAAGATCAGCATGGATGTGATATGTTGCCTTTAGAGCCTGTGAATGGCAGGGAACCGGATCCTTCCAGGTTGAGGCTGCTAGATCCTTCCTTTGGGACCTGTGCTTGATATGTTGCTTCTAGACCAGGTGTGGCTGGTCCCAGGGTCCCTTTGGAAGGAGAGTTTCGCAGTGACTTCCGTGACTGCAAACTTTGTGCCTTCCATTGTGTTTCCTTCCAGCCCTTTTTCTCAGATTCACAAGTGCTCAGTTGTGACTCCTGAATCATATGATTGTGGGCATTATGGATGAATTGATTTGATTTGACTGCATATACAAACATGCAAATCTAAGCAACCTAGGAGCCTCCATTAGCTACACAAGAAGATTCCCTATCTGGATTATAGCATGGAACCCAACTGCATCCCATCCCATCATTCCTTTGGCTCCTTGGGAAGTTCTCTGCTGCTGCTTTCCAGAGCAAAGTGTCTCTTACCCTCTGGGTCTGGTTGTTGGTCACCAGTTCATAGATGGGGGATGCTCTGGTCACCTCCAGCAAAACTGGCTCAGCAGGGGTGTCAGAGCTTGATGTCACATGACACAAAGGACAGGATGAGGGACATCGCCCTTTGCTCTGGCATTCCATGCGGACTCCAGCTGCCATGCGCTTGGTACCAGAGTCTGACAGGCTAACGATGTATTCTGGGAATGTCAGCACCTTGGGATCTCTTTCCCGCTCTTCCGACTCATCAGATGGGGAATTGCCTGCCAGACACAAAAGAAAAAGAAATAGTGAAGGAAGCAATATAGCAAGAATTGCCATGACTGGGTCATTCCTGAGTGCGAGAGTGTAACTTCAAGGAGTTAGAAAGTACCACTGAGGGGGTAAGATTGTGATTCTGCCACCCCACTTAAGTAGGAACACACACCTTCCCAGTGACATACAGTTAGAAATGGCCTTTCAAGTGTGAGAATTGGTCATTTCTTTTCTGATCCACTGATCCACTCAGAGGGATGCGTCTGTCGGATCTGCGCTGGTGCCCAATGCCAAGAATGCCAATAATAACCACTGTGATCTTTCTATGCCCTGGCTTCTTCCTGTATAAATGGGAGCCATTCACGGCACCCAACTCTAGCATTGTGAAATGAATGGATGGCAGGATTTTTCTGAAGCACACGTGTGTTTGCTAATATCACTGAAGCACTCATCATAGAATCTTGGTCATAATTACAACTAAGATTTATAGAGCTGTACTATGACACTGGAATTGATTCAAGATCTCCTTTAACCATTATATGCATGGAGTCTACCATTATGCCCATTTTACAAATGGGGAAAGTGAGGTCACTAGATGAATAAAAGATGGTAATTTGGGATTTGAACTCAGTACTATTTCACTCCAAAGTCTTTAGGCCATAGAGGGAGAACAGAATTTTTCAAGTTTATAATTAATTCATGTGTGGGGAATGGGAAGGAAATTTTGATGTTTTCAAACAATTTTCACTCTTATTTGATGCATAAAAGGTAGTGATAGAAGCTCTTGATCTATTTTTGGTGATAAACAGGAAAAATGCCTACTAGAGAATAATGGTTTGTTCCCCACACAAGAAATCACTGTTTGCTATTTCTCCCCCTACTCCTCATGATTATCCATTAACTTATTAACTATAAAAGAGCCTGTAGACAAAAGCCCTGAATTTCTTAAGATATTTCTGACAGTTGCTGTCCCAAGCAGGAAATGATTTTGGAAACAATGAACATACACGGAACATTCTGGTCTCCAACAGATGCATTAAGAATGTAGTACTTGATGGGCCACAGGGTGAACTGGTTGGAGGCTTTTACTAAGTGGTTTTACAGGGTGATTAAGAGATATGATTCATCAACTTTAAAAAAATTTAAAAAAAAAAAGCTCTTTTCTCTGGGGTCTGGGAAGCTCTTGCTATGCCCTCTCTTGTTTGCTGTGTAATAGGAGCTCATTTGAAAATGTCATGAGGCATTCCAGTGCTCTTCACTCCCAAATGAGCAGCATTATGTGGGTGAGACACCTTTACCCCGCAGCTCTTTACAGGGACTCCTCCTGCACACAAAAGCAAAGGACACCTTCAGTGACTACGGATCTGGGTAATAATTGATTTAACATTTGCATTTTGTTGAATCGTAGACCCAGAGTTGAGCTCCAGTGCTTCCCAGACTGCAAGAGAATTGCATAAATGTTTGCATACCAAAAGGTAAGAATGATGACATCAAATAGTCGGCTCAGGGTCCCAGACCAAGTATCCCCAAATCACTTCCTCCACAGGTCCCTCTTTATGCATATTTAGGCTTCTGCAGTGCAGCCACGGCTGCAGCTGGCAGTATTTAGTAGCACACTTGACCCTAGGGGGAAGGCTGAGAAGTGATGACCCCAGCAGTATTTAAAAGGGGCTGTGGTCTAGCCACGGCAATCCCCATCCTGTATCTGGTCAGATCTCATCTCGTTTTCAGGCTGATGAATGCCTGGAAGCAGAGGCGGAGTAAGGTCTTGGACACTGTCTGACCTCTGGGCAAAGCCTTTATTCACTGGGAAAGTGAATGAAGTTATTTAAAATAAAGACAGCGAAGATGCACTATTTCTTTCCAAAATAATGTTTTCAAGATTTTGACATGGCAAACCTTGTCAGAGGTTGAGGGTCTTTTGGTGGTTGGTAGGCACCTTGGAACTGGAGGCCTTCCCTCCTTCCTTCAGATTATTTTCCACACACTAAGAAAACAATTCCCACCAGATGACCACTAGATGGGGGTATAGGATCTAAAATGACTACCTTCTGTGTGACAGTTTTGAAATCATGGAAAATAAACTTATGGAACCATGAGTAACCATTTTGTGGAAGCTCATTTTTTTTCTATCATACAACAAAGATTAAAGAGTTAAATAGTTACATGCCACATATCTTCAGGAGAAAGAAAAAAGAAAAACTATAATGACAGGAAAGTTAAAAGAAACTAAACCTCACTAGAGAAAGTAAAACAATATCCTTAATCTTGAAAAAAAGTCACTTCAAAGAAGGAGGTACTATGCCATCACATTTCTTTTTCTATTTTTTTGTTGATTTTTAAAATTTTTATTTATTATTTTTATTTTATGTGTATGCGTGTATTGCCTGCATGAAGGTTAGTGCACCCCGTGTTGTGCAATGCCCACAGAGGACAGAAGAGGCTGTCGGATCCCCTGGGACTGGAGTTACAGACATTGTTAGCTGCCACGTGAGTGCTGGGATTCGAACCTGGGTCTTCTGCAAAAACAGTGTTCTTAACTGCTGAGCCATCTCTCCAGGCCCTGTTGACTGTTTTTTTAAAAATATTTTATTTATTACTTTTATGTGTATGAGTATATTGCCTACATGTATATAAGTACACCCATGTCGTGCAAAGACTGCAGAGACCAGAAGAGGGCGTCGGATGCCCTGAAACTGGAGTTAAGGACAGTTGTTAGTTGTCATGTGGGTGCTGGGACTCGAACCCAGGTCTTCTGGAAGAACAGCAAATATTCTTAACCGATGAGCCATCTCTAGAGCCCTTGTTCATTGTTTTGGCAGGGTCTCTCTAGTTACAGCCCACCTGGAAGTCACGATGTGACCCAGGGTGGCCTCGATCTCGCAGAGATTCACCTGCTTCTGCCTCCCGAGAGCTGGAATTAAAGGCGCACACGACCATGCTGGGCATGTCATTTCTTTTCTCTGACCTTTGATACAATACCCAGTAGCCTTCCTGGCTCACTGCTCGAGATGAATTGCTCTGACAAATGACGCCAGCAGGTGGCGCTGTAACCAAGAGCTCTGTGTCTGGAGCTTGACAGCTTCCCTACCTTCCAGCTCACCATCCTTAAAGCTCCTAATTGCTGTAAACACAAGGGGTTGTTCCCCTTGCTGCAGTCTTCTGACGATTCCAATTAAAATCAGGAAGTTGCTAATCCCTGTCAATACCCTTCCACCCCACATACTTGGCAAGATTAGGGAGTAGAGAGGGGTGGATGTGAAGAAGGATGCAGAAAGATGATAGACAGACAACAAATGCTCCTCCCGCTCCCCCCAACCCCAATCTTATTCTCCATATCCTGAAAATATTCGAGTCCACAGATAAGGTCCCCTTTGGAGGCCAAGACCAATGTTCCCTGCTGGCCCCTGCTCACATGGGATGGAGCTGCCGAGAGAGAGAGAGAGAGAGAATGGATTTACACAGCTATAATGAACTGTGAGTCCCCCAAAGCCATCTATTCAGCCAGGCTCCAGCCAAAAATAGACATGTGCGTGAGAGAGATTTTTCAAGGAGGAACTGCATTTTCTATACAGTTAAAGACACAATTGGGAAATACTCCTTAAAGTGATAGAGTCCATCGGTGAAAACCCAGATGAATCTCCCTTATCCCAAAGAGAGCACCACCACCATAACCATGTCAAGTAAATGAGAAGTTCCGGTCCTAAACTCTGTCTGATCTTTGACATTGATTTTAGCGCCCCCATTGGGTGGCAGAATGTGTAGGTGGAAAGCTGTAGAGAGGAAGTCACTTTATCTCCCTGTGAGCCAATGGTCCCCCTTTTTATTGGCCAATCCTATTACAGTGCCCGGTACCTCTCTCCTTCATCTTCTAGCCCCTAGGTGGACATGCTGTAGGACTTTAAAGCACCATGCTGTTTTTTTAGTAAAATTAATTCTCTATTTAAGTAGCTATAAAATCTGAACATAATAAGCTGCAGAGTGCTTATCCCTGAATAAGCCATCTAAATCAAGTATCTGCCACCCAAGGCTCAGAGACCACGGCAAAAGAGGAGGCAGAAAGGTTGTAAGAGCCAGTGGTGCTGGATGACCACAAAGAAACAGAGTTTTTCAGACAGTTGAGAAATTACTCATATGAACTTACAACAAGGATAAGTGCATGCACACAACCCACAGAAGCTCAAGCCAGACAAAATCCCAGTACAGAAATGGGGAAGTGGGGAAGAGGCCCCATCTTAGCTGAGGAACTGTCACCAACCAGTAACTGCTGGGAGAGGGTGAGTTGGTTTTCATTAAGGGTGTGGTGCTAGATAAATTAACCAGGTTCCAGTGGATGGACACACACGGGAGGACATTTGGGGACAGAAATTTGACTTGATAGACCTTAATATATGTGAAAGAGTACATGAAATGCAGTGAGGGGACATAGAGGGATGTAGGCAGGGGAGGAGGTCTAAATGCGATCAAAATATACTCTATGAAATCCGAAAAAAATTTAATAAAAAAAATTTAAAGCTACAGTTAAACTCTCAAAAGACTATAAATGGCAATTGTGCCCTCTGATAAAAAATACCCAAACATGGTCCCCTCCCACGCCATTTGCAGAATTCACCCCACTGCTCCCAAGGAGGCTCTCATGTATGCTGTGAAACTTAGTTTTCTTACAAGTAGAGGAATATTCAACCTGGAATGTAGTTAACAACCCTAAAACTGCAAAGCATTTTGCAAATACAGTTTGCTATAAATAAATGCCATTTGCTTTAGGCTAAATCTGTATCCTCCAGCACACAGTAGATGAGTTTCCCCAATAGAATACCATGGTATGAGAATATTGGCATCCTTAATACTCAGAATCTCACTGTGTATGTGCCCATGGCCTTAGGCATGTACATATTGACCCACCTAGATTCAGGGGCATATGAGGATGATAAAAGTGACCAACCTATTCTCGTGCAGGCTCTGCTCTGCTTGTGAGAACTGACAGGTCACAGAGGTGAATTACTTGTTA